GGCAAATGGCTCAGAGGACGTCATACCGAAGAGAAAATTAAAGCTTTAAAGTTCGCTCAGGATTCCTCGATATTTCAACCCCGTAGAAGTTGCAATTCAAAGTATTGGACTGAAACTTCCCTTCGAATCGAGGGTGCTGGAAAGTATAAGGCAACTTGGAGATTTGTTCTTGGAATTTGTCGAAGTTTGTGGAAAAAAAAAAAATTAATAATCTTGAGATTCTTTCGAAGCCTCTTTTTTTTGATCCCTTGTACATTTTGTAAAAAAAATTTTTGAATTTTTTTATACGCACCCTGGTTGGACGCATTACGCGTTATCGAAGCTCGCGTTTGTATAAGTTTAAATGTAAATTTGATTTTTTTTTTTTTTTCAGGAAAGTGAAAGAAACGAATACAAAAGCATGGCGGACCAGCAGCACAGCTATAAACTGATCTATTTCAACTCTCGTGGCCGTGCCGAGCACATTCGTTACATATTCGCGTTCGCCGGTATCGATTACGTCGACGAGAGGGTACCGAAGGAACGCTGGCCGGAACTCAAGAAATGTGAGTTGGAGACCGGAAATTCCTACAGCCACGTGGCGATTCGCCTGGACACGTAGGAGCTTCGGAATATATAGACATTCCTAGTAACACGCGAACTATTCGCAAAGCTAACCTAACTTTTGCATATACATGTATGTATATAGACGGAGTTATTATTAGCCTTAGTATTCCTATCTGACTGCCTAAACCTAACCTTTATCTTTCCTCCGGTCGATCTTACCTCCAGGCTGATCGTTCAATTTCGAATTTCAGGTATGCCCTACGGGATGCTTCCGGTCTTGGAAATCGATGGGAAAGCCATTGCTCAGAGCAACGCAGTTGCGAGGTATCTGGCGCGGCAGCATGGCCTCGCAGGCCTCGACGAATGGGAATCCATGCAGTGCGATGTTCTTGTCGACACTCTGGGCGACCTCAAGCAAGGTAACGGCGATCGGCAATGCGAATCGTTGTCTCTTCAATTAATCGGCAACGCGTCCTCGCACTTTCTTCGGAGTTCACCAATGTCGAGCGGAGAATTCCTTTGTCATGGGATATTACGGAAACCGTTTTCCGGTCCCTCGACGATCAGTTCAATTTACGTTTCCCGGCGACGACGTAGCGATTCGCATCGATCCTCTTGATGCTTCCATCGTACCGGAAGTATCCAAGGGGATGACCCGCAGCAAATAGGAGACTCCCGGATATTGTCTGGAACGTAGGATTTCGAATGTTTTTTTTTTCGTTTTTTGATGTGAAAGAAAGGGCTGGAGGGTAGAATGTTTACTTCGAAATACAAGAGGAATCTGTATTCTTGGATGATACTGCTTTGAATTTTTTTTACTCTGAAATACTTGCCGGATGCTGGAGCCGGATGATGGATCTTCTTGAGGATATTGCGGGATAATCCTTATCCCGTGGGATCTTTTGTTGAATTTTCAATAGGAACTATGTATTGTCTTGGAACGTGGATTAAGAACGTGGATAATCTTGTCGCGTACCCTGGGTTCTCTGGTTGACGTTCGCTGATGAAGGTCCAGCAGCCTCCTGGACTATCCGGAAGATCAATACGCATTCTCCTGTTATTTCTAGGGGGCTTCCGTTGTTGTGGAAATATAAAGAAAAAGATAATGTGCAATTATTAATTTCATTCCTGTTCTTTGCTTCTGTGCACGTCAGGGATCTCCCAGTATCGCCACGAGGAGGATCCGTTCAAGAAGGAGGAAAAGAAAGCGAAACTTTGGAAGGAGACGATACCATTTTATTTGAACAAATTCGAGCAGAACGTTGCTGAGAATGGCGGATACTCCGTTGGCACTACTGTAAGCTATGTTAAATTCGTGTTTTGATGGGGTGTCTTTTTTTTCGGGAGGATTTTTGAGATTATATATGGATCTGAGCTTAACTTTTTTTTTACAGACAACGTGGACGGATTTTCTGTTCGCCGTGGCGTTGGAGAATTTCGAGCAAATCTTCGGATCCGCTGCTCTTGAGAACTACCCTGCTCTCAGGGGGTTGAAGCAAAGGGTTCATGAAATACCGGCTATAGCCGAATGGCTGGGTAAACGACCCCAGACGGAATTCTAAAAATACATTTTTTGAAGGGATGTCACTTTAGGTTATCTCTTTTGAGTGTTACTTTTTGGATCGGTATAGCATATCGATTTGGGATTGATGATCGATCGATTGAAATGAACTTTGACTCGAACGATAAAATACAAACGATTCCTTTGGGATCCTTTAATATTAATTTGCTCGATAACCGCAGGACGGTACGAAGGGTGACTTTGATTTTATATTATTGAATTTTAATCGGCGTGAAAAAAAGTTAGGATAGTAAATGTGAAGATCGATCGACTAAAATATGGGCATGGAAATATTGATCGGATTTTGAAGCTAAGAATAACATAAATCGGCGGTAAAATCGTTTCGCCGTTAAGTTCGATCTATAATTAATATCGATAGCACAATTTGTTTTGATCCATGTTACCAATCGGGAGCGAGAATTAGATGAACCTCAGAAATATACAGAGTAGGATGTCCAGTGGATCTTGCACAGATTTTTTGCTCTGAGGGATAAAAGAGATTTTGGAAAGTATTTCGAAACGCGCGCGGCCATTGGACGATTAACCTGATTCTTTCAAACTTCCTTCCACGATACCTTTGACAGTTGGAATATTTTTATAAGAAATTTACTCGCATTAATGCGGATGCTCTCTGTTTCTCGCTCTCTCGGGTCTCGCAGTCGTATAAATCTTCGTGGTCTGTGGCCCTTTTTTCCTTCGGCGTGTCTCAGAAGTTTCGAATATTTTTTTAATTCTTTCCCAGATAAGCAGGAAATTTTACTTTTTGTCTTGGCTCTAAAGGAGCCTGCGATCGGAACATACAGGTAGCGAGAACGGCCAGATATCGTGAAATGGCCGAAAATGAAACGTATCTGTTAGATGTATAGGTGTAATAAGTGTTATCCTATATATAAAAAATATATATATGTATATATGTGCGTGTGACTCAAAATTAGAATTGTTCGGCGAACCAGCTTCGTAAAATTCACTTCCACCATTGCTCATCGATCATGCGTATTATTAGTTTCATGATTTTAAAGGTGCTTTTGTGCGAGCCCGCGATTCCTTTATGTTCAAAAGGTTTCGTTTCTCGCTTGTGTTCAAAAATACAGAAAAGAATGGAAGTGGGAAGAAATAAAAAGAAAATTAGTATCGATTTGGAGATAGCATTTTTATTCATGCCTCCTAATGATTAAATAATTCCAATCACAAGTTTACGAGGATTAGCTTGACTCTGCTTTGAAAAAAAAAATTAATAATTACACTTCCTTGTTTAATATTCTCTGTTTTACCACAATAAAGGAAAGAATACGATTTTGATCTACCGTTGATAAAGTGATTTTCTTCGTTATAACAGTCGGTAATTTAACTATTGAGAATTGCTGTGCAACAACGATATTAGCGCTAATTAAATATGTTATATATATTCTATGTGCGCTAACACGAACACTAGAATGCTTTTTGGGTCTTTGGACATTTTATTTCAGATACTTTGAAAAATTGATTAAGCAAGATTGTTGCCACGTACGAATTATTTATTTCAAAAGGACAATTCAGCGACAAACATTTTACAACGATATTCGAAATGTGTAAAAAAATAGGGTATACAGGGTGTCCTTAATCAAGGTAACGTGTTTATGGATTTATATGTATTGAGGAATTTTTACATATGTAAATTTCTGATTAAAAATAGAGTATTTACGTGATTTTTTAAAATTTTACTGAGGTCACTCGTGATGTAAATAAAAAGAATTTCACGAATAATGTTGAAGTTCCGTGAAGATGAAAGTAAAGGAAAGTCTTTTGAAAAGAAAATAAAGAGCGCGAAGCGAGCAAAAGTTCCTCGTATCCTAAATATACATTATTTCTCGTGACAAGCACATGACCAGAATAATCTAGTAACTGTCGTGGATCATAGTGAAATCCAAGAAAAAAGGATTTTACTCCTTTCAAATTGACGTCATGGTCATCCGATGGCGTAGTCATCGTACAACAAGCCTCCAGCGGACAAAGGCAGAAGCACATTCCTTGTCATTGAATTATTTTACAAAATAATTTCCTTCTCCGTCATCGTTCCAAATCCACAATTATCCTGGCTCGCCGCCTGGTAAGGACCAATTCAATTTTTCAGGGACGATCGTCTCAGTGCCGGCACATTTTCCCCGCGTGTCACAGGTCGTCAGGTAATCAGATCAAAATTCAGCTGCCCCATGTACCGGGCCAATTCCAATCCACTGAACTCCGTCTCATCCAGATCCTGTAGACTTGAGTTACTTATAGTATTAGCACTATCGATACTTGGTTGACTTTGTAATATCGGCGGTGCACTAGCCACTTCCGGTCTTACTATGGATTTCGTTGATTTTTGATGATTGCTCGTAAAAAGATTTTTGGTACCCAGTCTCAGTCTTTCCGCCAATATTCCTAAAAGCATAAGACGAATGTTGTGAATTTATTCGACAAAGAACGGCAACAAGGAAAGTAGTAAAATTTGTGACACTTTTTAAAATCTATCTTACAGTGTCTCATTTCTATTTGATAAAATTTGTTCTCTCTACTTTACGCGTGTCATCATCCCAGCATCTTAATCCTATATGAAAGCACTGTCTACCGATGCTGCTGTGTTATCCATTGAGAAAGTAAGCAGATAACAAGGATAACGAGGATTAAATGATAAAGAAAAATATTTTACCCAAAGTAACAGTTTTCTGTTGTCTCGGCAGCTTCGGGCGGCAGTCGTTTGCACAATTTGCCGCTAGGTGGCTATTCGTATTGTTGTTTCCCTCGCTGATGCTGTTACTCACCGGCGTAAGCGTAGTTACACAACTTGAATACGAAGAACCCCGAGACCTGCCTTTATTAATCTCGCGAAGACTCATTTCCTTGCCATCCGTCATTTTGTTTGTCTTACCAGGTTGGTACTCGTGTTCAGGCTGCACGAGCTCCGTCTGTTTTGGTGCTGTGTCGCAGGTCACAACCTCGTTACAGTTTTGCACGTTATTTGCCGCAGCCAATCGTTGCGTCTCGTCGCTGATCGAAATCGACGCCGAGGGTCGATGATTTCTAGGATGATTTGTATGTTTCGGATAATGAGAAAGTGCACTATAGGTTGGTCGACGTGGACTGGTTTTCTGAGGAGATCTTCTCCGCCGACAATTCTGTGACAGCATCGACTGCAAAGTAAGGTTATACTTTAAAGATACAACCTAAATTAAACGCTAGAATGTTTTCTTCGTCGGATAATTCTTTACCCATACCTTGAAAGCTTCTCGAAATTTATTCGACATTATATTATACAGCAGCGGATTGACTGTAGTCGAAAGGTAGTAAAGAATCCCAGAAACATATGTGACTATCGTATAAACGATAACCAGTGCAGGATGAGGCTTCCTTGAGTTACCCTGAGCATAAACAGCAAGTAATCTCTGCGCGTGAAAGGGTGCCCAGCATATGAAAAATGCAACGACGACAGCCACTGAAAAAGAAAATAATAATTATTCATAACCGGAAATAACGTCTCCCAGAGGTTCAGCCATCTACAGTCAACAGTTGTTTTGCACGTGAATCCTTAACTTTTGGTCAAAGTATTGTTTATCGCGAGACAGTTTGGTCTTGGACGACAGTTAATATATGCTGAATTAATTAATTAATGAAAAAGAAAACATATGAAACCTGCAGGTATTATTAGAAAAATTTATTATTGATAGAATTGCTTTGCAATTCTATCTAACCGATTGACTGAGCAGTCTAACCTAAGATACATAACAGGACGTAAATTCAGGCTAATGAGAAGACACCGAGTCGTTGCCTTTTTTCATGGTCACACAAATTGCCAACCATTTGCCTTCATATGGCCCTCGTGCGCCAATTGTTCTGTCCTAAGAAAATGAATCTTTATTACGTGATCGTGTCAACCAGATCCCATCTGACTACCTGATACTTCCTGTAGGCATATAAAAAATCTATTCAATCTACTCCGGAATGTAGTAGCGATATAGAGAAACTACGTAATAATAGGGTCTTCAATTTGATCCAAGGTCTTCTCCTAGGCTCTACGTTCAAACTATAGGTTATCTAAGAGTTATAACTTTACTAGTCAATTAAGACACTGGCTTATAATCGCAAACACGATGTATTCGAAACAAATGGCGTTGCGGAGGCGGCTCGTGGCGCCACGACTGATTTCATCATCTGTTCGTCATCTTTCTGGACTCGTGTTTTCCATTGGTTCTTGGCACGAGCAATTTCGGTCTTTAGTCGACGTAAACAAAAGCACATGAATGAAACGATGAAAACACATAACAGCTGATATGAAAGAAAATTAAAGAACGAAATACATAATGGTCGTTCTGTGTCTGCCTTCAGACTGTTGAAACAGTAGGGAGATAAAATCTTTCAACAGTGATCATTGAAAATAGTCCCTCGATAATAATAATAATACCACTTGTCCAATGTGGAAGAGAAAATCGTGCGACAAGATTCTATAAGAATCTTGGGTAGCAGCGGGGAGGAAATCCTAAAAGAGGATACTCAATAGTATATGCCGGGAGATTCATTTGATCGCAGGAAATCTAAAATCTCGTGGTTGACGAAATCAGCTGGAGTCGAGCCAGGATGAATAGTGCTAGAAAATTTGGTCTTCGATCTTTTGCTCTCTTTGTATCCGTGTTCTTCTTGCCTTACTTTTATTTGATACGCCATTCAGGTATCTAGGTTAACTGTTACGCGCTCCAAGAAACAAGCCGCCTACTTACTGCAGGGTGGATGAATCTCGTGGGCGCTGGGAGCGTCCGAGGCTTCCGGGATAAAAAAGGCGTCAAGAAATTTGGAAATTTCGACATGATATTTTTCTCCTCCGAATTTAAAATGAATAAGTATTATTTGATTCTATTTTTATAAAATTCTCGATATATTAGCGTCTTGTGTATTTACATTTTTAAAAACCGCTTTCGACCACGTATTTGATGTTTGCAAAAAAAAAAACTTTGGACGCGCATCCCGACAGTGGGCGTAAAGTTATGATGGCAAACAAAATGCAAATAAATAAATACTACAATCTTCTCTCGCAAATGCGTCTCGAATTATTTTGTAGGGTACTATTCTTTTCTAAAATTAATAAATATTTATTATAATAACAACAATGCAAGTTTTCCCCATTTTTCTCACAGATATTCATACGTATCGAAAATTTATTAAAAGATCGAGGGTGAAATTCATTTTTTTAGAGATAACAAGTCCGTGAATCATTTTCTTTATCTGATTAACCTAATCTCATCGTCCTGTTATCAGCAAAATTTACATTCGTCCTTATAACATTATAAACATGGACCATCACGACCTTCCAAGTGATCCAGACTGCTTAAACAATTTTCAAATTTCTGCATAACTAAGACCCTGTTTACATCGACGACAGTCGTCTTAAAAAATTCAGCCAAAGTAGTAACGTAGTAAAGTCTAGTTCATTCTGAGCTTATGAAAAAGAGGTAGTCCGCATCGACGTTTATTTTCAAGGGCACCCTGTATAATGTGATTCCACAATATGGACCAGCACGATCGGTGCTTCTTGGCATAAAGAATAAGGGAGATAAAAAAGAGGTACAAAAATATGAAAGGTAATAGAAAATTTACGTAGCAACCGTGATTTCGTCCCGTTTGACAACACGGCCCTGACATATATAATATTAAGGGTGAAAGGGGCCCCAGTAAAGGACCCCAAGCCTCGAATTTACGAAACCCAGAAAATCAAGTCTAGACTGCCAAAGTATTCTAAAAATCCCTTTTCCAATTCCCAGCCAAATTAATCTGTTGTCATTTCTCGATAAGAAATGTGAAAAAAAAAATGTACAACAATAATTGGAAATATTTGTCTGTTCCCCCCATTTCCTCGACCTCGCGATTTCTGCCTACTTGCCGTTATTGGAACCTCCATAAATTTTGTCCTAGGAAATTGGCGACTTGAAATTTACGAATTTCACCCGCGACGGACAAAGAACGTAAATTCTCGCTTATGGCTATTCGGCCGAGAGGAACAAATATTCCGTGACTATAGACTGTTCTGTAATGTTTCACGAAAATTCGCAAAATTTACATAGTCGGCTCCGTGACTTTAGACGATGGTAGATACACGGGGGATAATTGGCAGAATGAAAGGCGAAGTGTCGCGGAAAGGAGGCGAGCGGACCACTGGATTAGGAGTTAAGATAGGACCACTCCCAGGCGGCTTATAAATTTGACAGAATTTCCATGAGTTTTCCAGCTAATTTACAACTCACGTACTGCCTCGTCGGCAGGCTCCCTTTCTCCCGTCCTTGAAAAACTGGTTAATCGTTAATTCCGTAAAGATTTTTCTTTCGGTTACCATCAGGGCGACAGCTACGGTGGTAAACCGCGGAAATTACTCTGAACCGTCTTCCATTTTATATTTAACCGCTTAATGAATAATCAAATGAGCTCCTGGATTCACAGAGACTACTCGTTTTTCTTTTTCCTACCCTTTTGATAGGATTAATTAATTTCTTTAAATTATATATACGTCATTTCTCTTTTTTAGTACACCTGTATAGATGCTGTCTTATTCTTATAGGTATATATAGTTATAGCAGGACGTATATTTCTTCTTTGCCGAATAACAAGACACGCGGCTCTTTCCAACGAGTCAGACAAATAATTCACGTTGCTTTTCTTGTTTGTCGCTTAGGAAGAAGAAAGAAGGAGACCGGAAGTCACTAACTCACCAATTAAGCAGCTAAATAATGGCTGTGCACATTGGAAATTACGTGAAACGTCCCACAGGAAAGTTTTCTTGAAAATTTAAGGAAACTCGTTACCGACGGGAAATTAGACCGGAGTGCGATGAAGGTATATATATATACAAGAAGGGTTATTCCCGGCATACGTACTAGCTGAAGTTGGACGCAAATGAGTGATTCCATTAATCAGAACAGTGTGGTATCATTTAAAAAAAAATAAAGTTAACTTTATGAGGTTCTTGTTGTTTCATTTGTTTAAAGTGGTCACACTGCTTCGATAATGGCATCCAACTTCAGCTTGTACGTTCGTATGAGTAACCCTATATATACATATATATGTCTGTAAACACACGTAGGTTGGTATATTATATAAATTCATTGCTAATGAATTTTTATCGTATTTTTTTAACTTTTATGTGAAACAGTTGAAAGGGACTTGAAAATGGGAAGCGGAAAAGTCCTATTCCGAAAGATCGAGGATGGATGTCAATAAGTTGGCAATTTTTTTTTCATCCTCAAGAGATTTCTTTGGTAAGTTTTTTTATCACCTTTTTCATGGTACTATTTATTAGTTTTTTTTTCAAATACGTTAATGCATAAATTTGGATAATGTATTTTGAAAATATAAGTACCGGCAGGCACTGTGACATTACTTTTACACATTCATTGATATGGCTGCTGGATCATTAAACACTTATCTTGTTTCCCAGTGGAGGATTGGTCAATTTCAAGGGATACTCACATACTTTTACTTACTCCTTATATACTTTTCTCCTTGGTAGGTATTTGATTTATTAACACTTTGACTTTTTACAGGGAATGGTAGCTGTAAGTTGAAAAAGTTGGAATCTTCGAAGAAACTATAAATTACTATGAATCCATTAATAAGGATATTCGCCCGGGGACCTCGAGAAGTCACGAAGAAATTCCTTGGACGTCTGCAGAAGCGAAAGGATTGGAGAGAAGGAAGAAAAAAATGTCCTCACAATATTCATTGTGAAAATTCGGTATTCGTCGACAAATATTGGGAGAGACAAACATTTCTTTCATGTCTGAAAAATACCGAGGTAAATTTTCTGTCTACGAAACAATTACACGACATTCCGTAAAGCTATTGAGGTGATTGACCAGGGTTTTCGTATTTCTTTAGAAATTTAATGGCGCATGTCGTCGCAGAAGCTACGAGGAGATAATGGAATGCATGATGGGGGTTGCGCTTATCAAAAGTTCCCGAGGCTGTATAAACTCCAAGAATTTACAAAGGGATAGATTCTCATAAGTGAACTCTCACGATTTTGTTGAAACTTTCATCCGTCTTTACTGGCCTTTGAAGCTGCCATTTTATAATAAGTATCTTGTAGGTACTCTGCATTAAATACTTAATTCACTTGCGTTTCACGACACGTTGTGCTTTTACTGTGACAAACTTCATGTACGTTCCGGTACTTGTGCAAAACAAAATAGCGATATTATAGCTGTTACAATTTTTTTTTTAATAATTCATGAAAAACGCCGAATTTTAAGTGAGTGTAAAAATACGACGTACGGTCTAAAAATATATTAATATCATCCAAAAATAAAAAATGTCGTGCATAAGAAATGGCTATTCGGTCGCGTCCGTCGGGTGAAAAATGTTCTGAAATATATGTACGATGAAAAGTAGCAATTGAATTGAGGATACTATAAACGATTTCCGGTCAATTCAATCGCGACCTGTCATCAAATGTAACTCTGACGTCATTCTATTCGTTTATTATGAACGTAATAAGAGAGTCATAAATCTCACGTTACTCATTACTGTATATACGCATATGTGCATATAGTGTTATCGGACTTTGTGATATTTTAAATCCAATCGAAATGCGATAGCAACCCCTGCACGATAGCCTACATGTATACATAGTGTAGACAAAAAATCAAGCAGCATCCCTTGAGGATCATATTTATTACTTTATGGTTAGAAGAGTTTAATAACAAAATTCGCGAGATAAGAAGGTTCTAAATTAATATCTGTATTTCTAACACGTGGCTCATCATTGCCAGATGTCAGTGACGTGTGGGTAATACTGCAACAGGCAAATCGAGTACTGATTGCATAATAGAAAATCATATAATAATCGTAATTCGAATAAAGTACGAAAATGTTGGCTCGTCCGGAATTTTGAATCTTGTTCTGTTTTTTATTGAGAGATCAGGAAGTAATTCTGCCTTAGCCACTCAACCAAAAGAAGCGTAGTACTTTAACTTCAAATAAAAATTTCTCAGATAAGTTTCATGAAATTGCCTCAATAATCATGCATGGTTTCCTCCGAAAAAGTTTGTTTGCTTTTCCGCTATAAAAAAGCAGCAGTAGCCTGATTCTTGAAATTGCCATTAAGTCGGATTTTTTGTAAGTTTAATATTTCACTGCGATAGGGGTTAACCGTATAGGAATTTAAGCTCGATGATAATAGCCAATAGGATGGCATGGAAATGGGCGATAAGAATATATATCATCTAGTCCTAAATTATATCTATAGTTGCTATTTATCAGATTAGAGCAATATAATGCACCCCTAAATCGTTCTCCATTATCTCATGCGATTTACGTTATAGCACTACTCTGCTACATGTTTACAGATAATATCCTGCTGCAGACTGGCCTGAGAACATACAAGCTGCAGTATTTCCATGATTTCTGTATATTTTTAGATCCAATGAAAATATATGGGTGACTTCTAAATCACATCTCAGCCTGATGCCTGCATTTGAATATGTCGATATCAGAAATTCTATCTTGACTCACATTTGCGTAGTGCAGCTTGAGTGCATTAAAAGGTACTTGGCAATGTATCCAGGTCTGGCCGAATAAATGAAGATTAAAAATTTTGAGAATTTAAACTGCCTGATGGTTTTAGGTGACATTATCCAAGCTCCCATAGCCATTTTGAATAATTGTCCAAAATCGAGTGGCTGTCACGTGATGGAACACGAGGGTGATTTTCAACCGAAAATAAACTATCCGAATGACCCGTTAGCGATTACGGACCGGTTCTACGTGGTCGATTGAAACAAGGTCTCCACGATAAATCTGAAATTGATGGGATTCAAAAGTGCTAATTAGATATTCAGGAATCCGAAATGATGAAACTCAACGCTGGACCATTTGCATACATAGACAAGTTCAGGATCCGGTAGTCACCGGATAACGGAGACTCATGAAGAGTTTTGATCTCTTACGTTTCATATTAATAATGCAATACTGTCAGGACTTATCAAGGTATAAATATGCATATGACAAGTTTCGTATTATTGGATCACTAAGTATGAAACGTAACCTTACTTCAAGTACTTCCAGTACGAATTTGGACATTTCATACTTGATAACCTATTTTACCTATTAATAAACCTTCAACGAGATTCGTGTGTTCCTATTATGTAGGTAATGTCAACATATAAATTTCATTATGAATTTTATAAATAAAATTAAAATCATATTGAATCTCTCAATTATTTTATATATTTTTCTATTCCAGAAATATTCACTTACCAAGCATTCGTATAACGTTTCGCTGAGCTGCACCTTTTCCTCTGGAGCTGTCACCGTGATTTAGACTGTTGGATATGGAGGTTCTCTTGACAGCCGTGAGCAACCTTGAGCTCCTCAACTTTATGGCAATCAGAACGTAGAGAACCGTGATGATGGTCATGGGCACCACGAAGAAGAGCATCGTAGATATTTCAAAGGCATGCTGGATCAGTACCCACTTGACAGTGCACCTAGCACTGTCTTCGATGACAGTGCCATTGTCATCACTGTGCACGATGCCAAACTGAATGGCTTGTGGAATAGCCAAGCCAAGGGCGAGTAGCCATATTGCTATGACAAACTTGACAGCCCTGGAGAGCTTTGACATTGTATGCGAGATGAAGGGATGACAAATGGCGACATATCTGAGGGATCAATTAAGTTCTGTAGCAAATTCAAAATGTAATAATTGAAGCAAAATTTGTATTTAGAGTGTATGGCTACCGAATGGAACAAACCTCTCTACTGTGAATGCCGTGATGGTGAGGACCGTGGCGTTCGCTGAAGTCTCAGCAGCAAAGCTTTGTATGATGCAGAAGACCTCGCCGAAGACGTATGGAAATTGTGACCAGATGCAATACATTTCCGGTGGCAGGCCGGATATTAGTAAAAGAAGATCGGATATTGCCAAGCTGAAGAGATAATAATTCGTAGCAGTGTGCATGGACTTGTTACGTGCTATTACCACGCACGTGGAGATGTTCCCTATGACACCAGTAAAGAAAATGGCAATGTATATTATTGTTATTGGCAGAACAATGTACAGGGGATCTCTGCGCGTGGAATCGTCGCTGTTCAAGAATTCCTCAGTCGAGTTCGAATATTTGAAGTCTGTGAAAATATTCGAACCCTCCCTTGAGGCTAGGGAGATATTTCTTGTTAACGATTGGTAGTCCTTGATCTCGTTGGTAGTATCCAGTACGAAGCTATCGTTTATCATGCGTCCAATCATATTGAAAGTCTTGGATACTCCTTGAGTAATTGACTTTATTGTTCTCACGAGAGGCTATCGAATCCTCATGAATAATCGATGAGGATTAGCTGGCCATTCACTTTTACGAATTTCTCAATTCTCTTATCATTCGTGGATCTCCTTGATGAACTTTGTCCAGGGGTAACATTTCTCTGGACTTTTTTATTTTTTCCTTTTTGCTTCCTTATGTCTTTCCTTCTAAGACTTGTTTTCAACTTTTTAATCAAAGTCTCACGTCGTCACTCGTGCCGACGGATCTGTCAGCTTGCATCGAAGAGTCTTCAGTTTTTTTTTTTCAAATTTTCTACTCGCAATCTTGTTCAATGTACGGCAGCACTTTGCTCTCAATTGAATCAAGAGAATTGCTGGGACTTCAATTGAAGTACTTAAAATCTTTATTAGAACTGTACTGTCAGTCAGTCGTGTCCTTGAGTCACTTCGTGTACGTTGTAGTTCCTTATCTATTGTTACCATTAAGTCACTTCGTGGGAAAAGTATCAGTCCTGTTCCCTGTCAAATTAATTCTTTTTGGCTCTTGAGAACGAAGCTTGCGTACCGCAGGTTTACAAGAGTCCATTAGGCGCAGACTTAAGAGATTCACGTTTGTAATTGAAGAATTAACACCGTTTTTTTTTTAAATGTCTTTCACGAGTAAATTATTATCATTGTTTTATCATCGCACTTGACCCACTGTAGATTAATTTTTTAATTATTTAACACTGTCGTCATGGCATCGTCAACATTTATATTTTATCCATGTTTCACAGATCGATTAATCACGAATTATACTTCACGTCACGACGTTTATGGAAATTATTAATTTAAAATATTTATCGATTATAACATAAACGTCTACTGAGCGATTCTGTGAAAAAGGCGCGGAAGACGTTCCCGTCGCGCCAATTCGAAACCAAATGTGAGCGTCCGGAACGCCGAGTTCGAAGGAACTGCTCGCACGTTAAATTAAGTGTCGTTCACACCGTGATACGTTCGAGGCGGGCTTCGATATCTTGGTAGTCAAGGCTCCTCTGTTTACTAGATCTCCCATTTCCTTGCAGCCCAGTCGACGGATCTTCCCGTAACGTCGAATTGCACAGACGCCAGTCACACTACAAAAAAAATGCGTCTTGTTTTTATTGGAGCGAAAGAGGTCAAGGGTCGATATAAGAATTCAAGAAATTTGAAGAAAAAAACCAAGCCTACGCTAACAATTTTGAATATTTTTTCACGTATCAAGGAACAGTGATAAACATTTTTTCTGATACCTGTCACCGTTGATTTTTGTATGCGGCAAATATTATTATTTTTATCTAGAACACCTTTCGGTATCACTGTCACAACGTACACAATTAATATTGGTATTCATCATTAACCCTAGTTTGGGTTCAAAGTTGATCGTTAATTATTCAAAAGGGTTAACCTATAATGATAAATCTAGACGCTCTGGATATTGACGAAGATTCTACAATGAACTAGATCCTAAAACGGCGTAGATGCACGAGACCCACGGATGTTCATGCATTTTATGACGTAACAGAGTTCGTGAGGGACCTAGAGTGACTTTACGTTTTCACACGGCATCAGCTCTATTAAAAACTCGTGTTTGTGATTATTGGCAAAGCAGAGCTGACGGCGTAAACTGCTGACAACTGTCAACAAATCTATTTAGACGTCTTGACAATTTACATTGGAGTAACTTTACCGGCTGTTACTGATGCTGCCTCCTAGTGGATAATATTGTCAATCATTATTTGCGTGTTTGTTTTTATCCTGGACTTCAATGATCGAACAAAATAGACTTTTTTAGCAAGCATCGACGATACGTACGTAAATTATTTAAAAAAGAAACAATAAAAAATAATTTATTGGTTTTCTAATAATAGCACGATCAGACGAATTGATCAGTTTTTTGTACATCGTATCATTTGTCTGTTAGCCTCTTACGAGAAGCATTACTACGATTCAGTCTGATAATTGGTGCTGAAAGATTAATTGATCTCAGATACAAGGGCAATAATTCACTTTCAGGGAATTGAGTCCAATTTCGAAATTCACTGTCTTATTGATATCTGTATTAATTAATGAAATGATAAAATAATTTTTTCATAGGGCGATATGGAGTATGATGAAAATGTGTTAAAAAAAACTTGCCCTGATAGATTTGGATTAAAAATTTGTTTTCACGTTTCGACAATACCGTGTATTTTATCCTGGAATAAAATCCTATCCTATCCTCTCACCTGTTGCGTCCCTGTAAATCTTCAGATTAAATCCAAAAAATTTCTTGGCGTGTACCGACGTTGCGAAATAAATAAAAAAAAATTATTGTTGATAGGTTTTTGAGTACCAAAAATTCAATCTACCCTCACCCGACTGACGAGACGATTAGGGTTGAAGATAGGTTTGACTTGGCCAACGCATCGCGATTGAACCCTCTGAACTCTCCGTGAGGTTCGGCGAGGAGAAAATGGGAGTTTTGCGCCAGCGCGAGTAAATTCACTCCCTCTATTCACGCGTCCCACTCTCTCACTCTCCTTTTCTCTCTTTCGCTACAGTAACTCTCTCTTTGGGTTTTGTACGAAATTGCGATCTTCTTATCATTAGACTCATCATCCCTTTACGTACCGTTATCATTCTTTCAGTTTGAATGTGACTGCTTCCTCTGCCTCATAGCAACACTTACAAAAATATGGAAAATTTGATTATTAAAAAAAAAACTATAGATAAATGTTAACGTAATGTATAATTTAAATCGTTAAAAAATTTTTTTGGAATATTTTCCAATTTTGAATTTTGAAAAATTTTTCTATGAGATCTAGGAATGTAGTAGACCAGTGGAAAATGTCTTTGTTAGATAATTCGATTTTTTCATCATTATCAATCATCACTCTGGATCGATCAATCAACAAAAAATTGATTTTCCTTTACTTTTCACACGGGTTTCTACGTGAATCCATTTCTCGACCAACCCTTTGTCTTTACTGAGTTCGTCAAGTTTGTTCTATATCGAAGCAGTTGATTTAAAAAAAAATGCAATCAGTCTTCAGTGAACACGATTGATTTCTGTATTGATTATATAGGTAGCCATGTGGCCTCTTACGAATATCTGTAGGTAGTAAGCACAGTACTTTTTCAAATTCATGAAACCGTCCAATCATCCAATTGTCCAATTGGAATTTCCACAACGTTACACCTCAGTGTGAAACTTTATTGGCCAGGAGGATTTCTGGCTGAGAAAATTTCAATCAGATTGACAAAATCCTTTTTGGACTAATTGAAGTCCAATGAACACGATCGATTTTTACATTGATTGGTAGTCACTTTGATAGATAGTCACGCGTACACGAACGCCTATATGTAGTAAGGTTATAGCCTTTTCAATTTTACAAAATCGTCCAATTGTCGAATCGGCAATTTTATCTCGTTAAACCTCAATAGCGCGCCCTGTTGGCAATCAGGAATTTCGGAAGAAGAAATGTAATTGGAATTTATAAAATCCGCAATAAAAAATGCACGTAGCACGTGCTCGTTAAATTTACATAACTTTAAATAATTTATATTTTTCATCCATATGCCTTTGTTTTTTTGGTACTAGCTCGTTATATTTTCCTATCAAAATATTCGAAGGCCATAGTTACTTAGGCAGTACTTTCGTTGCTTTTTAAAATTTAAAAACGGATATACATGAAAGCTTTTGGCGCGTCTCCAAGGCAGCCTGGCGTGTCGCGATTATTCCCTGTATTTCGTCTCTTTGAAATGACAATAATTTCATCGTGCTTTGTTGAATTCTCGCTGAGCTTCTTTCAGTCGACTTTTTGTATACCCTTTTTTTACTTCTCATATTGCTTTCCGCTCGATTAACTTTTTTTTCTATCAACCAGAAAAATCAACTGGACAAGATCGAAAAAGTCATGCACACTCGTTAAGAATATTGAATGGTTGAAGAAATTTGTATAGAAAAATTTTGACTTCTGGCCATATTTCAAGGAAGAAAATGCATTTCGTAATTCCAACTTTGGAAATAATTACCTTGTTATTCAAGCGAATAGACAAATCTTATTAACCTTGTTATTGTTACGTAAGGAATTTTAATTATTTTTTTGTAACCATAGATCAATGATCTCAACGATCTAAAAATAAATTGACAGATCCACGAACGTAATAGGAATGACTGTCCATCTAAAAATGGAATACAAACGTTGTGTTGGCAGACGACAGTTCTGAGGTTTGTTTTATTAATTTTTATATTAAATAAAATTGCAAAACTATTTCCATGCGTACCGATGAATATCCTTGTATGGAAAATTTAACTTTATTTTCATTTCAGCCCCTTTCCTGCCCCGAACCCTCCCCTATTTATTCCCTCCTGACCGCCTTTGTCTGGTCACATTAAAGGTGCTGTGCCAATATCAGGGCAAGGGTAGTTTGACACACCCTGTAGTGCCTGAATGACACCCCAGCCAGTAGGCTCTCGTAAAATTGGTAAATATGATCCTCAGAAACTTTTGGGCTAAGGACTTGTGTGCTTTTTGTTTGTAAACTTAGGAAAATCAATGCCATGGCTTTCTGTGTTTTTCAGGTGACTTTGACATGAGAAGAATATTTGAAAATTGAAAAAAAAGAAAATCAAATTACGAAAAATTGTAGTCCACGGGTAGATAGTTCAAATCCTTGGTGATTTTGAACACGCGTTGCGAAAACGTGTCGTTGCTATGGAAAGCAGACGTGAATATCGTTTTTTTACTTCTACTTTTCTGTATCAACATTATAAATATATGGGTAGATCTATAGATCGCGACACGTTGATCCCATCAAGTCAGATCAGCATGATCGTCGAAGCTGTGACCCAGAGATTATTTCGAATGTAAATGTCTTCTCGTCCCATGGAAATGCCTGTTCCATAATCGGCAATCGATAGTCGGTAGTATATTTTGACATTAGAATTGCACGGTCGAAAATGAATGGCCGATAAAACGAGAAGTGTCCCAGAATAAACTAGAGGAAACGGAGAAAGTTCAGGGACTAAGCACAACTTCCTAAACTTTCTTGCTTGCCAAAATAACATCATTCGTAAATGTCAAATTGTTATTGGAAAAAAAGCACAATAAAAAAGTTTCGATTCATTTTTTTATTCTTGTCTCGCAACTTGTTTTTTTTTATTACTTTTTCATCTGTATATCTATACATGTTATTCATTTGTAGGCCTATTAGACATGTTATACAGTGTTTGCTTACACGTATATATATATATATATATATATATATATAATATAATGATCATATCTCTAACCCTTGTTTCGGCACTTTTCATCCAATATAATTTAATTATAACAAATCGATAAGGCGAATCGAAAAGAAAAAGTATCTAAAGAATCACGTGAGTTAAAATGACGCAGATAACGCTGACTGATTCTCTGACTATCGCGCGAGCATTTTTGGTAGATAGACGCATAAAACTATCTTCGCGTCGCCTGCTTAATCGACCGAGACTGTCACATAAATTGTAATAACATTTTGAAATCCAGGTTTTGGGAATGCTAACGACGCATCGTAATCCGTTGACGCATTCCCGGTTCGGAACGAGCACGTGTTGCCGTTTTGGTGGAAAAATGATGGTTTTGCTTATATAATTCTGCTTACAATTGTCTCTGTTCCCTGATATCTCTCCACTTTTTCCGTCACCTAAATTTGAATAAAAAAAGAGTTCTCGAAAATAACTTCACCATAGGAAATTCGCAAGGCGATACTAGAATTTAGTAGTCGACGTCTGTGACTACCCAAAGTAAAGATACTTGTCGCCTGCTAAAATTTGAGGGCGAAAGTGCTGCCACGGTGGGGAACGTAATTTCCTGTAATTACCGCAGCCATTTACGGTAAGTTACGAGAAGCTTTGCCAGCACGATATTCTTTATGAGGGTAGCTTAATTGGTCAGGACTTTCTTTTTCCTCTATTCCTAACCTCAATAATAATATCCTAGGAAAGTATCGCGGTAAGTGATATTTTTATGTAAAAAGCTCAAAAATCTTAAAAGCAATTGCAGTCAATAAAAGAAAAATTTCATTGGATTAACTTCAAATGACCGTAACGTAAAGTAGATACGGCAATGGGAATGAGACTTATTTGACAATTGTGTTCTCAAATCATATACGTATGTCCCGTATACATACATATGCATAACTAAGTTTGTTCAATTTACAGAGAACAAAACTTTTTTCCAATTTGTCTAAATGTCTACTTAGCAGACTGCCCATAAACAACACAAGTCAGTAACCCTAGCATGCTAGGGGAATTTTAGTCTAGTAACTTGGAACGGTTGGTAAACTTGATCATTCTGTGTGGGAGTTCTGTCTCGGATATCTTATCGCTGTCGGATGATAAGACAGCATGGCTCTTGGAATTGAAGCACGTTCTACGATACGCAATATCTACACATACCTTTCTATCCTTCGAGACAGGACCCGATCCTTTGTGATCTAGATAAATCAATAGATAAGTATAAAATAAAATATGTCCTTCGCCAAGTTTCCGAAGGGAGAAACGATGACGTCGGACGGTATTTTAGAATTATAGGTTAAATAACAGTAATACTGGAAAATAACAATACCCAAACATTCTGTATTCTCCGTCAACGAACATAACCTAGAAACCATGGGTAGGACTGTTGTGAGAATTTAAAAAATTCACTTTTCGATTTTTTTAAAATAAAATTATTACCTTTGCTTATAAGAGGAAACTCTATGGTATACATATATTGACCATCAATCCATTTACTTTCCTAGTAACTTCTTTATTATTGGCAGTTACCTTCGTTGTATTTCTGTCTAGGAAGAAAAGGCAATTTCGTGAAATTAACGAACAAACGTAATTCTTGCTATTAAACTCTGAACGTGACCTACAATTTTGTCGTCGTTCTCGATATCCATTAGACGAATTTATTTTTTCTTTTTAAAGGAGAGTTTTCGCCCTAAATACGAAATCGACACTCATACAAGTTTTTAGTGGTAAGTTAAGCTTTAGCTCCGATATTTTCATATCTCTTGTGGAACAATTATCATTGACTTTTTAACATGATCGGATCTTGGAGATTTTTTTTACTGTAATAAAATTAAAAATTGAGTGACCATCGTACAAAAATATAACGATTACAATATTTTGAATTAATTAAAAAATT